AGGGGCTTAGTGGGGGGGGGGGCCGGGGGGGGGGGGGGAGCGGGTGTGGGGGGGATTCCCCTTGCAGCTTCAATCGGCTCTGCCGAAAACGGAGCAGGAAACTGGAGGGGGGGGAGGAAACAGAGCAAGAGGGCAAGCTGTTTTCGGCTCCCGCGGGGCACCAGGAAGGAAGCGAGAAAGCGCACGTGGACATTCGTTGGATTGCTGGACCGAAGGTTCACCGAGTCCAGCGTTCCCTCTAAGCTGAGCTCGTGTGAGCCGGCTCACAGTCTTTTAGCCTCCGGTTCAGACATTTTCGTCTCCGGGAACGAGGGCTCCAGATCAACCTAATTGATGCGGCGGCCAAAATCGCTCGCTCACAGAGTTAATGCCAGCGGCTCACTTAAGTTGGATATTTGCTCACGAGACGCCACAGCTTAGAGGGAGCATTGCTTGAGTCCAAAGCACTTTGTCCCTACCAGGGTCTTTGGAAGCTCACAATATTAGGTAGGCAGACAGACAGACAATTCGCCTTCAAGGCACAGCAGACTTAATGGCAACTGCGTGGGGTTTTCAAGGCAAGAGAGGTGGTTTGCCATCGCCTGTCTCTGTGTAGCAGCCCAGGACTCCCTCAGAGCCAGTTTGGTGTAGTGGGAGAGCCAGTTTGGTGTCGTGGTTAAGTGCGCGGACTCTAATCAGGGAGAACCGGGTTTGATTCCCCACTCCTCCACTTGCAGCTGCTGGTGTGACCTTGGGCCAGTCACAAGCTCTGGCACAGCTGTCCTTGAAACAGAGCAGTTTGTGTCAGAGTTCTCTCAGCCCCGCCCACCTCACAGGGTGTCTGTTGTGGGGAGGGGAAGGGAAAGGAGTTTGTAAGCCGCTCTGAGACTCCCAAGTGAAGGGCGGGGTATAAATCCAATCTCTTCTTCTTCTTCTCTAAGTGGACTCCCTTCCAAACAGAGACCGGGGCCGGCCCTGCTTAGCTTCCGAGATCTGATAAGTCGGGCCCGCTTGGGCTATTCAGGTCAGGGCCTGGAAGCACGCCGACAAGACGCCAAAAGCAGCCGCTTTCCCACGTCTGCACCATGTTTTTGATATTCAAAGGTGGGCTCCATGCCGGGGACGGGCGTTGTACAGGAGTTTGTCTGAAATGCAGGAGAGACCCAGGTTCGAGGGAACAGAGGCCTCTCAGGTTCAATCCCTGGCATCTATATATCTAATAGCCAAGTTGCCCCCTGAGTGCGGATCGCTAAATCAGCGCTCCGGGGGCACTTTGGGGGGAGGGGGAGGTTTGTGCACACGTGGGCCAGTCCCCACGTGTGCACAAAAATTGAAAAAGTTGAAAAAAAATTCAGGGGGACGTTTAAATCCCCCTGAAAGTGACAGAGCGTCCCCTGCGCATGCGCAGGGAACGCTCTGTAGCTGGCCTCGCCGCCGCCGTGCTGCCGCCGCCACCGCCGCCTCCTCCTCGGAG